TTTATCAGTTAAGAACTGGGATTTAAAATTCTTTCAAAATAATGTTTCTTTAATAAGACAAGTCTGAAGATTTGTTTAAAAGTACCACAATCCAAGATCGCTGACTATAATTGCCTAAGAAAATAGTTCCAAAATTGTTTGCCTCAGACTTTATGTTATTCTGGGTGGTTTTTTTTAAAGCTTTTCATTCTCTTTTAAATTTCATTCGAGAATGGTGGGGTAAAGAATAAGGGTCAAGTTCGTCTTTTCTTCAATATATAATATAGGAAGTTATATTTAGGTATATAATACAGAAAGTTTAGCGAAGGTCTGATGCAAGCGCTCGAAGCTTAACAAAATCTCCGGTACATGCGGACGATGCCATTACATTAATATTTATATATTTTGAAGGGCTTTACTGAGTTCCAGGCATCCTCGATCGAAAGGCCAATTTACGCGGAGTCAATGGGGGACCCTCATTGGACTAAACATATGTCAATAAGTGTTAGTGACAGCGCGCATAAAAAAGTTCTATTCCTTCTAGGGTGAGCACAGAATTTCTGGCTTGGCTCAATCGATCTAGATTCAATACGTATCGGTTGTCCCGTGAAATATGTCTTAGAAATACATTTTAGGATAAAAAAGACCGTATACTCCAACCAAAAAAGATCCGTTTGGGTAAAAGCGTAAAATTTTGAAAGAGAAGAAGAAGACTTTCGTGAAAACTCTGAGACTGCCGTAAGTTTTACTGGGCAGGCATTCTTTGCTAACGATCAGCTCGGAGCGCAGCAAGTTGGAGCTCTTCGAAGAATGTCAAGAGATTCACCCTACAGCGAATAATAACTTTCTCGATAGTTTCTTATTTAAAAAAGTTTCTTTTTTTTTCTCTGTACGATTTCTTTGCTGTTGTTTTTGTTTTTTTATTATTATTATTTGCAGTTTCGGTCTCTGGCGATTTAAAAAGGAAAAGTTTTCTCTAACTTGTTATTTTTACTACGGCGATGCACTGGCTGCTATTTTAGTTTCTTGTTCGTTAATTCTGAACCGGTAACGCTTTAATTTGCTGTTGTTGTTTATGTTACTTTTTTCTTATCAGTTTTTTTTTTTTTCTCGCTTAATTTTTGTTTTAATGCCTTAAGCAGCCGTTGTAGCCGCACGTTATAAGTGCTTATACAGAAATGAAAATTTCTTTAAATACTTTTGTTTGTGTGATAAACCTGTTATGCTTGACAACTCTCGCACACCAACGAACCACTGTAAACCTACCCAACCTATCAACCTAAGTTTTCTTTCTTTCTTTCTCTGCCGTAAGGCATTTTCTTCGTAGTAAAAGTAACGCACACTGGCAGACCATAAGATCAGTCTGTCCATATGCTTCGCACAAATTACTGATCGCTCAATTGTCAATGAATGGTCTGTTTACTGGCTGACTCGTTTTTCTTGCGTTTAGCCGGTTACTGGGTTAAGTCGTTCATTAATAGCTGGACATAAAAAGCGCAAATAATTAAAAGACTAAACGACTTAACCGCAAAATATTAGGTGCGCGACTAAATTTCCGGCTTTCTTTGAACACAATGAAAAATTGAACATTTCAAGAGATATATGAACAAGAAAAAAAGTTTATTCATTAGTCACGACTTCTTCCATCTTTCAATCAGAAGATGAACACCGTACCGTGCCGTGGAATAAAAAGGCCCACTGTTTGAGCATCGTCATCAGAGCGGAAGTCCGTGTTTGAAAAGTCAATAAGTCATCAATTGCAACCGGTGTCACTTGGGCAAGGCATAATGTCTGCTAATAACAGCGAGGTGGGTAGCCTCTAGCCTGTAGAATCTAGGTTCATATCGCAAATATTTGCTCAGCGAGCTTCGCTATGATTTCGCTGCAAAGCAATGTTATCGTTATGTCTGGTCCCCCCCCCGTTTTTGAACCCAAGTGCATTGGCTATTGTTCATGAAGTTTCCTGCTGATGCATGGAATCATAATACACTGCACCCAACTATTTTTGAGAGATGCCCAAGCTACATAAGAAAAAAAAAACAAATTCGGAAACACCAAAAGGCTATACGCGAAAACCGAAAACTTAATTGCTCACCTAATATATTTTTATTTTGTTTAATAAATAAAGTGAGGAAATTCGGAAAATTAAGAATAAATAATGGAATGAGTTTGTATAGCAACCGAAAAAGATTTGGTTCTTCAGGAAGTAGAAAACGGTGACCGATATAAAATCAAAACAGATAAAAAAGAAAAATAAATTAGCATTTGATTAGAAATAAATCTCCAAAACTACTTAAGTCATCACCTGAGCAGAAAAAAAGGTCGTCTCTTCGATGCACGACGACTGCCTCCTTAGTTCTTTTACCCAACTAACGATCTTACTGGTAATTTGAAAAGTAAAAATTTTTGTTTTGAGGCAAACTGAAGGAATTCAAAAATTATCTGACATAATTGATACAGTTTTTGATAAAGTTAAGGTATATTTTTTAAAATAAACTTAAACTCTATCATTTGTCTAGCAAACGTCAGTGAAAAGCGTTGATAGGAAAAAGCGAAGCGCGATATTGTCTTCTAATGATATCCAGGCTTAGAAAATACCTTACGTATACACATGTCATTAACGGGTTTTGTAAAAAATGGCCTCATTATGTTTCCGAGTATCGAGCAAAGTTGATTTTTCATGAAAAAAATTTTCATTACATAATTAATTTTCACACACAAGTTATTCTTTTTTAATCTACACCTAAAACTGCGAAGATGACTAAGTTGGCTTGGAGTGAAACCCCAATAAGTCATGAAGCATTTAGAAAGTGGCTTGCGTGGGAACAATTCGCGCTCGCATATGTCCATCCCTATCCAACAGAAGCAAGCCGGGAAATGCTCTTCAACTTTGGCTGGGAACATCTCTCTACCGCGGATTCTTCTCTAGATCTGCGTCTTTCTGCTTACCTCTTACTTAGATTGGTGCAGTGATATCTGGCAGATTAGGAACACGCAAAAGTTGAAAGCGTACTCGAAACCACAAATGGCATCCGTATAAGAATCAAAAAGCCATAGATAATGATGGTAAATATTTCAATGTTTAAGCATTCTAACCAGTAGTTCTATACCCACCACTGTATATTTGTAACACCCAAAAGGATGCTTCAGAGACCCTATAAAGTATATATATTCTTGATCAGCGTGAAATTCTGAGTTGATTTAGCCATGTCTGTCCATCTGTACGTCTGTATGGTGTGTTTATGGTAGAGCGTAAACTGAACGCAACTCAGTGTTTTTTAACAATAGTGTTGGGATTTTTGACCCTTACTCCGAATTTATTAAAGTTACAAGATTGAAAATTTCCACATTTGCTTTACGAGATACTTTACTCTCTACGTCTAAAGGCGGAACAAAGCGGCCGTGTCCACACAAATTTACGAATAATTAAATTTTATTTTTTTCACTTTTTTGAGGTTTAATGCTTGCTTACTATAAAGCGAACAAGACAAAACGTTTAAAACTATTCTGTACACTCCTCAAATAAAGATATATTATCTGCCTAAGAATGGGTTAATTCTAAAATGAATGTGTTGGATACCGTGATTAATTTTTTTCTTTTTTCTTTTCAGCGATATGGGTTTGAAATAAAAGAACGTGGAGAGTAGAATGCGAAAAACATGGTGGTTGGTATGCGAGATTCGGGCCCCGAAGTTTTAAATGATTTTACATTTTATCATAAGATGAAAGCAGCATTTAGTATACACTTAAGAACTCTAGGATGTTGTTGTTGTAGCTTCAAAAAGGTGATATTTTCTTAAAAAAAAATTATTTCAATTAAATAAAAGACTTTTAGAAACGATCTCTGGAAATTTGTAAATAAATGCGTCTGACTGTCGCGAATGCACGTTTAGATCGCAAATTGTAACTGTTAATTTAACCAAAGAAATTAATTCTAAGATTAAAGTGGGGCTATCGGCTCTACCGCGCTTGATATTTGAATCCACCAGCAATGAGTTGTTAGTCGAGATCCTTTGTCTAATCGGCGACTCGTTTAAAAATTCATTTTACGTAATAACAATATCAAAAACATAATAGCATGTACAAAAATACAGTTATAGAATAAGTCCTAGATCCTACAAGTCACGGGCTTCCAAGCAAAGTAGGCTGTGTTAGCATATCGCGGAATATCCGCAAAACGGATGTCGATCGCAAGTAAGCAAATAATTGAAAATGAGCGTGTGTGTGTATATGTGCGCATATATATGCTTAAATTCACTTTTACTTCTTAAGTATTTTAATGAGAAGAATTTAGCTCATGATTAGTTATCACGAACCGATGATGAACTGTTGACATATTGCTTCTTGCCTTCTAGAGTAATTTTGAAACGCTTCAAAGCATGTGATGCCTTTCGTGTGATGCCCCCTTTTTTTTTTTTTAATATTTCAATAATAATGATTTAAAAAATGTAAAAACAAAAGGCATTAATTAATAAGTTGTGTTTGTTTTCTATGCGATTGTATGCGGTTGCAAAAGAATAATGAGACAGACAAGCAAGCTTGGCAGGCACGTTTTTCTATTCATTTAATATTTTGAAAGGAAGACACGCTCCAACAAACGCTGAACAATAGTTACTAAACGAGTCATATAAATAGCATTACAACGGATGCTGTTACACCAAAGGAAAAAGAAACAAACACATTTTCTTGAAAAATGAGATAAATGCTTCTTCAACCCTTTTATAAGAAGAATTGAATTTTATTAATTTTTTAAGGCAGCCAAAGGTAAAAAGCCATCAAGCGAAGGTGTCATTAATTGCAGTAAATTGTTAGTTTTGTAAAAGAATTTTCGCCTCAAAGACGATTAGCTGATTAACATTTTCATCGAAGAGCGGGATTTATTTTAAATCTTACGATTCTTTACGAGATTTTTAGGTTTAAGGCACAATTTTCAGTAGTTTTAATTTCAATTGTTTTTCCATTGAAGTTTTTTTCTCGGTTTTTGTTTTTTTTTTTTTTTTTTTTTGTGGGGTTGCACTTACAATTCACAGTAATTGTTAATTGAATGAGTGAATGAATGAACGAAAAATGAAATCTTTTCTTGTAAACGGTTCTTGTTTCCTCTGTTAAATTTTAATACTTGTCTTTTTTGTCTTTTCTTCTTAAATTATTTAATATTTTGAAATAGCACTGTGTACGCAACGATATACTTTTACCAACTGATCGTTGCGACGATCTTGCCATGGTTTATAGCTTGTTCCCAAAACAATATAACGTACAACACACGAAATGTAATCACAATTTTTTCACCAACATATGCACGACTACAGCTACAAACACAATAACCAACCGCATTACAATCGACCAAACAAAAATACACATGCGGCACATATGTACAGCTCACTCGCTTAAGCCATCTTATGCTTAGCGTAGGTAAACATCTTCAACATGCACACATATGTATGTATGTGTTTAATATACTCGTATAAGCAACACATAATTAGTTAAGTTATTACACATAATTGTAACTGCAGGTTAGCTGGCTACGTTCTCTAATCTAACTCCCTGCTAATTGTGATGAGGCTTGTGTTCAGTGTATTCGTAAGCGCGCGAGGTATGCACCGAAACTCTCAGCTTAACTGCCTTCACAACTGGGTATCTCTAGCAGTCTTCAAAATGCCGCCAATCGAATCCAGAACCGGAGTCACTACACTAATGGAAAAATACCGTTCATATCAAGTTTTACGGTCACATGATACTCGAACGCATCAAATCTTGCACACATTTTCTTATGCAGTCCTCAACCATCGGGCATCGGTTAAGCTACCTTGCTATGTGGCGATCGATCTTCTGACATAGCGTTGGTGTTGATTGTTTCACTTACTTTATTATCGAAAATTCTTTTTTATGTATGCGAGCATAAATTGCGATGGTTTTCATTCTACAGCATTTTTTTTTTTTTTTATTTATTTCGTTTAGTGACCTGCTTTACTCCAACTCACACTAAATAATGTTGACATAAAGTATTGCCATAAATTGTTTTAACAAATTGAAAACGAATGATAACTAAACAGCACCAAGAAATATGGGATTGTTTTTTTTTTTTTTGTCATTTGTTTTTAGTTTATTAGTTTTTGTTTTCCTACGAAAAAAATTAATCAACATTATGATCAACTTGCGCGGAAAAGAAAAAACTTCATTCTTTCGAACACAAAATTCTATATAATATTCCGTGAAATTAGATATTCAAGCAGTTGCGATTTGAATCAAACAGGACTGGAGTGTAGAAGAGCGATAAGGTATTAGGGATCGCCCTCCAATGTGTAAAATTTTGTTTTACTTATTATTATTATTGAATCTCAGATTTCTGTGCTTTTTGCTGGAAATTTACCCATCCACAAGCAATATGTTCCACGAACGTATTTTAGGCTTATCCTATTGTATCGCATCACTCAATAAGACTCCGATCTAACTTACAGTTTCTCCGCAATTTCGTAATTCAAACGCACTTAGAATGTTATTTAGTATCCACTACTGATTCTTTGGCCCTTTTCAAGATAATCGATGAATATTATGCGACGAGCGTATCAACTTTTGCCTTTTGGGTTGCTTTGCACGGCTTTCGTCAGATGCTATCCACCCGCCTGAACGTGTTCAAAGGCGTATCAACTTTGATTGTGGTTTTAAAATTGTTGTCATACTGACTGCAACTTTTTCAAAATTAGCTCTAGTTCTAAAAATCGATAAAGATATATCTACTTTTAATATTGGGTTGAAGAGGAGCGGGAATACTTTCACAGTCCAAGCTTAAATATCCTACACCACCTCGCTTAACGCGGTTTTTCGTGTAACAAAAAAATTGCGATGCCTAGGATATAAGACAGATAACACGGAAACACAAGCGTGCATCGATCGACATAATAAAAGGTGGATCTGCCTCCCTCCCTCCCTTCTAGGTGTTGCTTACATGCGTACAAACTTAATATACTCTCGTACAACAAGTGGTATAGGATGTAAAAAGTGAAATGGCAAAAAATAGTCAGTCAATCAATCAATATTCTATCGGAAACTTTATCGTCATCTTTCTTTGATGCAGCAGCGTGCGCAGCTTATCTTCCAAAATTGATCATAAAAATAATATCAAAAAATGAATTAATGACCAAAGTGTGAAAAACTATAAAGGATGGATGACTTCTTTGCTTTTAACTTATATGAAATCATTTACATCTCGGAAGGTTAACAATTACTTGTTAAATACCTGATAATACATTTAATTGTGTCTTAAATATATAGCAAACTCAAGTAATATTAATTTTAATTAATGTATTTGTCTTTCCATTGAATGCATAACCGTTTACTAAGAGAAAGTTATATATATATATATATATATGTATATATGTATATATGCATTCAATTGTTTTGCGAGAAGTTCAGTTAGGAAAAAGGAAATAAAAGAAATTTCTTAAAGAAGCAACAAGTAGGAAGCTTATAGTCGGGTAAAGCCAACCTTTAAATACCCTACCCCACAATGAACATAAAAATTTTATCACGTTTCTATATAAAAGCAAATTTATCAAGTGCGTATTTATGGGGAAGAGGATCCAAAACGCAACCTAATGTAGTACAAGTTTAATTCTTAGTACATAGGGCAGATGGTCTAAATTTTCTACAACTCATTTTTGTATGAAAGCACTATAATATTATGGGTCAATTTCCATCACGGCTTCTTAAAACTTAGACTGTTCTGTCCTACAAGGGATCAAGTTTCGTGAAAATTGGTATTAGGATAAGATCCAGAAAATAGGCCGAGATTGTCCAGATTTGGCACAGTTAATTTTTTTATATTAAATTGCTATTATGATATAATTGTCATCGTCAAGCATTGAATATTATACCTTTTTGTCGTATGAACTTCACTTTTCTTTATATGAGAGGAGATTGAAAAATTGCCTCACCCGGTCCAAAGCTTTTCATTATCAATTACAATATTACCACTTAGTCACTTTTGCAAAAGAGTTTTTAAAATTGCAATTTTTTCCATATAACGATTTTTGACGACGGGGCGTTATAGATGGACTGGATCGATCCGAATCATTTTCTATAGCGTTCGTCCTCAAGTCAAAACACGTCACACATTTATCGAAATATCTCAAAAACTACGACCTGTAACTTGAATACAAATTTACATGGACAGTCATCAGATGGACAGACAAGCTTAAATTAATTCTGATTATGACTCTAAATCGATTGGTATAATAAAAGATGGTTTTATCTTAAGGCCACGGCCGCACTACACCACAAGTGGTGTAGGGTATAACAGACACAAAGGACTAATTGTTAATCTATTCGAGCAAATATATCAGGTGCTTACCTGTCTCTACGTCCAAAAATTTAAAATCCATTAAAGTTGCGAAAAAAAACCTTGGAACAAAAAAAGGTCAATTTGCTGTATTGTTCGACAAGCGATAATATATTACAAGAAGCTTAATATATTATATATGTATGTATTTGTTTTGAATTTTTAACTTTCAATCAAATCAAAAGTTATCTGTCTTACGTTATTTATAGTGGGAGAATAATTGCCGTCTTTTATTTTTATTTTTTATAATCAAGGGGAAGCCATAAAACACTAAGATATCACCGGCGGGTAAAGATGAATGCATAGAAACAATTAAATATTACTTCTGGAATATGCTCAATGTTAATTGGCCTTGATGATAATCAGCGAATCTAAACTTTTTCTACACCTTGCGATAATGATAATGAATTCTTACGCTTACCTCATTACATTTAATATGCAATTAGTGATCACACGTAGAAAAAAATGCTTTACAAACATCCTAAACAATATATATATATATTGTGTGAATATGTGGACGCGACGCGATTTAAGTATTTTCCTGGAATAACGCCTATGATTCTTCAATTTTTCAAAAAGGCAATGACAACTTTAACACCTCTCTCTCATTGTTTGGTACGTTTGCCCCAATAGTTTATAATTTCGCAATCACTTACTCTTTAGACTTGTTTCTATCACTTTTGACGACGGTTCATCGGATTTTATTGCAGAACGATTTGAGTCCCCCTATCAGCATATCAAACGATCCACGATACGAATTTTGCGGGTAGTAAAAGATGTGGACTTACACCCACGTCTCTTAGATTTCTTTAAAAACTTATTAATATTTTTGAAGCAAAAAACGCCGGCGACAGCATTAAATAAAACTCAATGTCTCGCGTGCATTGGCTTTGCCGGGTCGATGAGATCCTGCTCCATCAATGCCCTAGAGGCGCTGCTGGGTATCACACATGCTCCTATTGCTGTAGGAAAAGAGGCCTGCCTGAGCTCACTTAGACTGTCAAAATTCGACAGATTAAAACCGGCTAATGTCAGGGGCATCCAGAGGTATTGAAAAACTTCACGGACAGATGTTTTGTCAAGAGCTGGGACGGGGAAGCTTTTGAGCCCGGGGTGGAATCAAGGATATGGTATACAGACGGTTCAAAATTGCAAAATGGCAAAACTGGGGCTGGGGTTTGTGGGTCGAGTTTCCAAAAGGCTATGCCAACGGGACATATTCCAAGCAGAAGTCTACGCGATCAGCGCTGATCTGTATATACTCCGGCACCCAAGCCGCTTTAATGTCTCTAAGGGGACGGTTGATCATATCCAGACTGGTGTTGGAGCGCCTTTAAACATTGAGTCAGACGATGTTCGCCTAATTTGGGTGCCTGGACATTCGGGTGTTGAGGGCAACAAAAGGGCTGACTGTCTAGCTAACAGCAGCGCCCGAGGAGCCTTAGTAGACCCTGAACCGTTCCTTGGCGTATCGAAAAGCCACATTAACAGACTGGTCAATTCTCAATTGCAGGACAACGGTATGCAAAAAGATTCACAAAGTCTTCCGGTAGGGCTCATAAACTACCGGAACTAAGAAGAAGCGAACTATGTTTGGTCACCGGCTTCTATGCGGGTCATAATTCCCTCAGGTACCATCTGAAAAATATGGGTATATTTGATATCGATTCATGCAGATTCTGCCAAAACACGAGTGAGACATCCCGTCATATTCTATGAGAATGAAAGGCCGTCTACGGAATCAGACAGCAAGCGTTTGGTGAGCATTTTACTAGACCGGACACGATATGGTGCTCCGAACCAAAGAAGCTGGCGGGATTCATAAGGATTCTAAAACTGATTGACTAGGGGCATG